AAGTTTCTTCGGAATTTTCAGTCTGGGAATTCTTCCGACTTTTCCCATTCTACAAATTACACTTCCGTTCTTAGTATACCGGGTACTTCAGCTTCTGCAAAATTTTTCTCGTTTTATTTTTTGATTTTGATTTCATCTTCTTAGATTCCTTGAATGCTTCAGACTCAGACTGTGTGATAAATCTACCTTCCGCGTGTGTCTAGATAAGAATCGAAAACGAAAAGCGAATCGAAATCAATGTAACCCAATCGAATTGTAAACCAAAATAGTGAAAATGGAACTAAGTTCTATCAAATTGAAAATTTCCAACAGTTTTCCATAGGGATATGCGGTGAAAATTTAAAGCATTACAGAGATGGTGTATATAAAAGATGTGTCTAAAAATTCTTTTGTTGCTTCGTGCTTTTCAGGCCAAAAGGCAAAAATCGTTAAAACCCGTCTCGGCGCTGCGTCTCGTTGAAGATTTTTTGATATAAGTCAACAACCCTTTCAGCTCGATTGCAACCTTTTGTTCTGCGAATTGTGGAAATCTGTAAATTAAATTTTGAACAGGGCAAATTATTCTATGATTGCATCAGGTCGAGTGAATCATTTAGTCGTACAATAAATTGGAGCAAATCCGCAATCTGTGTATTATTATTAGATCCCGTGTATTGCAAAATATCTTCTCGTTGGGAAAGTTAAATTACATCACTGACGTAGCAGATGACTGCTTTTTATTTATATCGTGCAATTACCCACATGTACGAGTTTGAGAGTAAAATCATATGTGAGGATAAATAAATTAATTAAATTTACTTCGTTTGCACGAAACGTTTTTACTTACGCTAGTTATATGCGCTATAAGGAAGTAATCTACTGACCGCAAACGGAAGTACACAATTGTACAGTTTTTCTATAGTAAAATATTCCTTTGCATCTGCATTAGCGATTATACCGAAAGTTTTATCGAAAAAATTCTTCTAAAGCCTATGCTGTACATTAAATGTGAAAAATGAGTAACCCGAAATGCCATAATTATTTGTTGCTAATTGATGACACAAATCGAGACGAACTATGGATGTCTCATTTGGTGTACATGATGGAGCAAAGTGGATAAAGTTGAATAATACAATGAAAGCTCTTTTGAACTAAAGCTCTTTGGGGTGGTTTTCCGTTTCTTTAATATAAAGGATCTAATTACTCAATTTCAAAAATCGTTAGGAGCCAAAAACGACTGTGAATCATATGCAACTTCTAAGCTTTACACCATGTAACAGAATTAGATTTTTGTCAAAGGGCACGCGAGAAAACTGAGCTTTAGCCAATCGGTTAACACGGGTTTACACTTCTCTTCGTTTTCGAATAAGAGATATACATATTGGGCTGTTTATTTAGTTTAATTTTAATTCCTTCAAAAAGTTATTTATAAAGTAGGTACTTCGGTAGGTATTGTTGTTTTTCAGGAAGATACGTATATCTGCCCATAATGATAATGTATTTAACACTGGCAGATGCCGATACCGTTAAGAAGGGCGATATTGCCGATATACCGCTATCAGTCGTTTCCTATTTAAATAATTTTTAAAGTTCATTTTGGCGACCGTTTCTATCAAATTATATTTAAGTTATCCTCAACTTCTTCTGATGTTTCCTTCAAGTTAATCTCAAGTAAAGTAGGTACTAGTTTTCAAATCCTGTTCATGTGAGCTTTATTCAATATCTCCCAGGTTTTAAAAATCCCTCGTTATGACGGCAAGTCACTTTCTAATTTCCTGCAAGTTTATATCAAATTCTTCTTATTGGTCATATCAACGTTTCCCCTCCCCTCCATGTTTCCTTCAACTGACTTTTGAGTTTCTCTCAAATTCTTCGCAAGTTTTCCTCAAATTACCATCATGCTTACCCTAAAGCCTCTCTGAATTTCATCATAAGCGGCTCTCAAGTTCCCCTCAAATCCCTTTACAGCTTTCCCCACATTCCCGTCACATTTTCATCAAACTCCCTCAAATATTCAATGTTCCTCCCATAAGTCCCATATTCATATTTTTCTCAAGTGCCCATTAATTCCCCTTCAACTTCTTCTCAAATACCTATTCAGCTTCATTCAGTTTCCTCATAATTCCCCAAAATTCTTCGCCTTCAAAAACGACATAATCTGTAATCTCAAAAATAGACAACCTTGCAGGGAATATTTTTAACTCGATTTTTAATTCCCTACCTTCTACAAAAAAGAAGATCGGAAAAACGAAAAATTACCACGTTAGTATAACACGCTTGGAGATGGCGCCTAGGTGTCGCCGACCCCACATCATGTAGTCCCGTCCCTAAAATGTTGTTAATTACACGGCTCCAATAGGTGCATGTACTTATTGTACACACCTCGTCTTTATAAAAACGGGCTCGCATTTTCTGCCAGCCAACCAGCCAGCCAGGCGGCCAAAGTGAGAAACAAAAATTCTGGTTCCTGTACGAACAACAAAGGGTGCCTAGAATTTCATGCTTTTAAGAATAAAATTAAAAAGTTTTATTTTTGTATTGTCGAAATCGCGTGCATGTATTGGCATGCCTTCGCCTCACTCAAAAGTGAGTGAAAACTAAAGAGACGCAAATTTTGGGGTTGCAGCTCCTATACATGAAACATTTTGGATCCTTATAGTATATTAAGAAAGGAATGTTTGTTTTGAAGCCCTCTACCTAAAACAAATATAGTGCAAAAAAATGCCGCCCTCTAAAGCTACCGTTTTTTGAAACTGCCGTATATCCTTTACCAACTGCCCTTTTGGTCCTTGTAGAATCCAGTAGCCAAAGAAAAAATGTTTTACCTCAGTTTTCACCTTGGTTTTCACAGAGGTTGTCACATTTTAAAAACTGTTGTTCCACATCATGTAAAGCACAGATTTTGTTTAAAAAATGAACCTGTTTCATTTGCTTTAAAAAATGTTTTTAATTTTGTAGGTACTTTTAAAAATCTAGAAAAGTTTCACATAATCCTCGAACTCGTCCTCGAAATAATCTAAAAACCGTTTGGTTTAGGCGTTTGGTCTCTAATGTTACATTTGTTCCAATTTAGGGTACACTTTGGGGAATATATAAAAACTAAGGGATGTGTTTAATATAGGGAAGTCTGAGGTAACCTGCGATAAAACTGAGGATTTAAACTCATGGTCGTATATCCAAGAAAACGAATCAGTTCGTCGCTGAAAACCCTGTAGATCTGGAAATGCAGATATAGGTGCGCTAATTGTTTAACTTGCTCTCTAATGGACCAGGGATTCTACCAGTTTTTAATAAGAAATTAAAAATATATAAAAAAAATGTAGAAATGGAGGCTTTCGCAAAAGAGAGGTTAAATTGATTTTCGCAAATCAAAATTTTTCAAAATATGTAGTTTCGAGGGATGTTTTAAAGTTACTGTATTCTGTATATTGAGAGTCTTGTATTGATTTGTATCTCGATTTGTATCTTTTTTGTTATAATAAATTAATTAATTAAAAAACACAAATTTTGCGACCATTTTGAACCCTCGGTTGGCCTGGAAAAATTTTGATATTTTACAAAATTCTTTTACGTACTAAATGTAATGTTACACCCTGTGTAACAGCAGTGAACAGAATGTTCTAAACCTAAGCCATTTTACACTACATGAAATGCCATAAATATGCTACCTATTTTAATCTGATGAAACTCCGGAGTAGTAGAATTACAATTTGCATTCCCAGATTACTTGGAATTCTTCAAACTACATTTATAATTACTTGAAAATGACGAGAATTATTAGAATTATTTATTGTCAAAATTGACAGTACTTACGTATTTAAAAGAACAATTTTAAAAGTGAATCCGAGAGTGAATCCCTCGCAAAAATAATTTTGCAAAAATAATTTTGCTTATTAAAAATTTTAGCATTTAAACCCAAGGTTTATGGAGTAATCGAGTGTGCAATAATTTCTTTAGATGAAGATAGGGTAGGAACAATATTGCTTTAAGCATAAGCCTTTAAAGTGAGCCTTATTACACTTGATAGGGTAGAACTGAGTCGATTTATGGTACATTCCATTTCCAAGAAATAATTAATGCAGGGATGATATCGTAAATTATAGGTACGATTTAATGTTTCCAATACCAATCATTTGAAGGAATTCTCTCGATTGACATTCTGTTTAGTATCAGGAACCTAGCGGTTATTGGTCCATTAGTATAGGTAATTATTATTGAAATGTCGATAAAAATGGAAATACGGTCATTACACCTTTGCAACTAAGACAAAGAAATTCTTTTAGAACAAGGTAACAGGAAAATTACGTTTTCTTGTTAAATTCAAAGGTTTACGAGTGAAGAATTTTTCTGTTAAAAACGTTTTGTGTACCCACCTACGTACAATATGTAAACATCGCTGCCTTTAATAATGGCATAAGCTAAATTTAAACTGCTGTGCTCTAACACTAATGTAGGTCGAACAAATTACAGACATCGCTTTTTAGCTACGACTAAGAATATATTTGGCCACATCTCTCGAGATAAAAAAAGAGAATGTTCCTTATCTATTTGTGTCAAGGTCAGTTTACTATAAAGGCTACAACCCAGATGAGACAAACTGATCAATATCTGCAGGTCAACAAAACAAGGAAGATTCAGCTTGAAATGCTGGAGCTCCTAAGAAAAAAGCCATCGCTGCGTTACCCAATCGCCAGCAGTAGAAAGTTCTCTTCTTGCAGCTTGACGTGAAAATTGTAATTTTTTAGACTAAATAAAAGCAATACTTCCGCAAATTATTTGAGCATAAAATGAAGTTGGTTTACATAATAACCGATTTCGAAAACGCCAACGCGTTATCCAAAATGATGTTGATTCGAACAAATTTTTGCGCAATAGATATTTTTTCATTTGAAAAAAAATTCAAGGTTTTGTGGAAAAATAGAATTCGGTGTTTACATAACAACCGATGTAAATCGACCGCATTCGTACCTCGTCGACTATCCTCAATATGAAAACAAAGAACGTAAAGGTGAAATACTTACATTAAATTGTATTAATCCTTAGTTTCTCCGCATAAATAAATAATCACCTAACAGAACTGTACGAGAGGAAATAAAGGGTGTATCCAAAATGTGTAAATTGGGTTACAAAAAAGGTTACAGCTACTTATACGATAACAAAACAGAGTGACAGTTCGACGCGAACTGAATACGATTGGTGTTTGTTATTGCGATCAGCTGGGTAGGAACTTTCAGGCGTCAGCTGATCTGGTATACACATACACTAATCTCCCTCCTACTTACGCAATTAAAACAACTTGCCCGACTTCAGTTTTGACTACGAACTCGTAAATTTGCGTCTTTAAATTGGATATACGATGGCGTTCCAAATGTAACGCAGATTGTTTGAATTTCGCCGGGTATAGTTTCCCCTATAATGGTGGAGGCTGAAAATCAATAAGGCGAAAAGAGGGTGGGAGTTTCCACAATGTACAAAGGGTCTCATCGCGGTACAGTGTTGTGCAAACATTGCGATACGATGATAAACTTGAATTGCGCTGCACGCATGCCCGTTTTTCCTTGATCTTGAGGTCTCTTTGATTTGTTCCAAAACATGTCTGATGGAAAGGATTTAGACACCCCTCAAATTCCTATAAACCGCTTCTTCCAAATTGTTTGGAAATACTTAACCAACGTTACTATTCAGTATTCACTGAAGGGTAAATGATGTATGTACTTCAGGAATATCGAGCAGTGCAATATTGGCCGTTTTATTGGGAGTGGACGACAATAAGTAAAAACTTCAATAAAATGTCACTTAGGGCATAACAGCGTCTACTAATTGACACCGATTCCAAAAAAAACCCTACAACCCTTAGCCACTGAAGGGCAATAAGTTAGATGGATGAATGGAAGTTAGGTTTTATTTTTACATGTTTAGGGCGAAAGTGGAAATTATTTCTTTTTAAGGGCAGAATGTGTTCCGCTCAACAACTGTATAAGGCGAATTACAACGGCATAACGCAAACGACCGTAAATGGAAATATTGCTCCTTGAAATCCAAAATGAGGAATTTAACTGGATAATGAAATTCCTTCATCTGCTAAGTCGCTTTACTCCACAATAAAATCGAAAAGTGCTTAATTTAATTTATACGCGAAGGCCATAAATATACACTCATGTAGCGACTATTTATTAAACGGCATTCATCAATAACATTTGAATTTGATTTAAAATTCAGAATGAATTCTCCCGTCACACGCTGTATTAATCAATAGTCACTTACTTTGTGTTCATTCATACCATAATAACTACAACAAGTGCTAATACATTTTATGCTACGAAATTTATCCACCCTAATGCACCTGCTCTAGTTAAATGAACCATAGGCAGTAGCGTAACATGGAACTTGGAACTCAGGCGCCTCGGATCAAAAGAATCATCGTTTTGTTTTTCTGTATATTCCAAAGACAGTGTTTTTTATTTACACAAACTAAGTTTGGTTACATTATTTAATTATTTTCATGTTGAAAGATACCAATAAGTATACCAATTATCGTCGAGTTCGGAATTTTTCCTGCACGTTCGTGGGTGGGAATTTTTTGAAATTGAACAAGGAAAGGAAAATGTACAAAAACCTATCCAAATCGGTTAAATGCATTCCTCTATGTTAAAAGAAAACCACGCTGGATCTAGCCCTCCCTTTCCCCCTCCCACTATTGTGAATCAATTAACGAATTGCATCCATTTTATGAGGTGTTTAGGAGTTGCTTTTAGAAACTAAGAATCCATCCTTCCAAAATTTATTATGGGGTGGTCGAGTCTGCTTAGATCATGGAAAATCTAAGAAGACTTCGCCACCCCATATTATAGTTTCAATCCCTTATAGTGACTACAAAATTTAATCCTTATGATATCAAGCCTCTGGATTCTGGCAATGATGGTTACATCCAGTAAGGAAATTAAAAAAAGAACGCACGTTTTGTAACTTTTAGGGAGAACGAATCGCTCTGTATTAAGATGTCATGAATAGAGACCGGATTTCATGCTTTTATGCATTACGTAAATATTGTATGCAGCTCAAAATAAAAGAATAATTTACACGAAGTAACAAAAATGAATCACATTGGCGCAAAGAAAATAGTGCATATTTTGCATTTTTGGGGTTTTTGTGCATATTTAAGATAGATTAGCATTTTATTAACTTTTTTAACCATTTTATTACAAAACAAGCTTCCAGGGGTAGTAATTGCAACAATTATATTTTTATTTATAAATTATAAAGATGAACGAATAATAAATCAAATAAACTAAAAATTATAAAATAGAAACGGAACAAAAGAAAACAATAAAAATAGAATAAGAAAAAAAGAATAAAAAAATAAATGAAATACAAAAAAAATATGGCGCCCAAGTTTGTCAAATTATAAAACGTCAGCGGTGTTCAATTCAGCATTAATTGGCTGAACATGTTACCCTTTGGGCTTGTACCAATAAATGTATTATTATTATGGTCGGTGTTTCTTGTGAGAACTCAGGTCTAGCCTGGTTAACTAATCGCACGGATTAAAAAAGTAACGATTAGTGTCTGTGTCTGTGTCTGGTGAAGTTATGTAGGGTCCTCAAAAAAAAAAAAAAAATTATCACACACGTACATTGGAAATCTAGGGATAGTATATAATTCATACTTACCAACATACCTATTGATGGGCACAATAGCCAACGCTATCAGGAAAGAGGAAATCAAACCAAAAAAAAAATCATTATAATAATTCCTGTAGGAAAACAAAACAAAAAAAATCATTATAATCATTATTAGTATTATTATTATTAATTTATAATGCAAGCTGGAGATAATTTAAATGTAAAACCTCCGCTGATACCTCAATTAAAGTACGCTCCACTTGGTAGTGTCGATGTGGAAAGACGTTTCTCTGTACATAACCACGTACTAAGTAATAGGCGCATAAATTTTAAGATGGTTTTAAACAGCTTATGTTTAAATAGTTTGAATTAAAGAAACTTCAATAATTGTTTGTGCATTATTTAATTTTTCATGCATATCTTGATGCTTTTTTGCCATATTTGTTGTGCATATATATGTGCATTTTTGATGTGTTTTCATGCATATCAGTCCGGTCTCTAGTCATGAACCTTAAAATGTACGATTCTGCGGATTCTGTCATTTTTGGTTGTCGTTAATTGTTTTCGCACATGCAGCGGTAAATGCCGAAGTTATAAAATTACTTAGCGAAATTCATCTTCATCTCTTAGTCTAAGATTTACCGTATCGAAGCCCATTTAGATACCTTCTGAACTGAAAGATTTCCCCCAATATATTAAACTCTCTGTGAACAATGGTACGGAATTTTCTTCTGCTCGATTCTTTTGTCCGATGGGTTCTAGGGGAACACGGCATGATGTCTTTAATTGCATTCTGTCTAAATTTGTAGGTATACTCTTTCGGCATTTTGATTCGGTTTGCACTTTTGATAATTATTCAATAAATACCTACCTTGAACTGTAGTTGTAGAAAAGGTGGGTTTAGCACTTTGTCGCAATTGTCACGGTCAGGGTTGTTTAAATGTACCTATCACCCGATACATTTAATGATCTTAATAATGATTAGTGACATCATTTAAGAAATTAACAATTGAAATTAACAATCTAAACACAATTGCAAATATTCAGATCACTTTAAAGCAGTAATGGTACCTTTTACATTTACCCAACTCTTGATTTGCACAACGGTAATTTCGATATACAATGTTGCATAATACAATCGTTTTGGCTGTGCAACTGTAAGTGGTAATTATCTTCCCATGCATAAAAGTGGAAAATTATGGGTTATAGCCAAACACAAAAACTCGCAATTATTTTTGATTTAATTTCAATTTGTCTAGTTCAAAGTGAGAACTGACTTAATTCGCGTAATGTAAGTGTAAAGCGTTGGTTTCTTATCACAGTGTGTAGAAGGCACTTGCGATTTGCAGATATTTTGATTTGATTATCTCGTATGGAAAATGAAACAATAGGGCTAAATGAAAAATTGATTTATTTCTAAATTCTGGATCATTATAAATAGAGAATCGATCACATTCTATGATAAACTTGAAAAAAAACCTTCACCAAAATCCAACAAAACAAATTTGAACTTGACATTGACTAAGGATTAAATGCTTCCGTATTGTAAGTTCTACATAGCATAGTATTTTTATCAGAGAATATTTATCAAATTTTCCCCCAACTTTTTCTTTTTTCCGTTATAGAACACGGCGTTTTTAAGCGGAAGTTCCGATAAGTGCACTCACTGCTCGAATAGGAAGTTTATTTCTATTGTGATAGGATAGGATGTATTAATTTGCTTAGAGTGGAAACTATTCCACGCGTTCGCTTTCTATTAACGTTTGTTAATGGAATTTGCGTTGTAGCTACCTACTATAACGCTGTTGCTATGTTTCGTAATCAAGGATAATACATAGCCGCATATATGCAGGTTATCGTCTGTTATTACTTTCAAATTTATAAACCGTATCCGAGTACGGTTATGCCTGACATTTAACAAAATGTTAATAATATATAGGTCGGCCGGTTTAGTGTAATTGAAATTATAGGTCAAGAGAGAGCTATTTTCAGTTGCGGCCGATGTGAAGATTTTATTTACCGAAGAACTATTTCTAAAAATAATATTATTTAGATCATGTTCACTTATGCAATTCTTAAATAGACAATGGGTTAAATTTGTGTATACGGTATGATTTTGAGAATCGTTCACTATTATTTTAACTGACGACTTTATTTTATTTTACGTATTGTTGCACGACTTGTAAATTAATCGCAGTAATTTCAAATACATCTCCATCTCCTTTCGTAAGTCAATATTAACCGAGCCTCGGTAACACTTTCCGAGCAATTTCTCAGCACGCTAAATTTTTCACTGGACCTTACCCCTGTAGCGGCACCCCTGAGCATCTCCGGTCAAATTCGAACACAGATATGATATAATGTTTATAATTTTGCAAACAATTGTGCAATAATACATACATAAATGGCTCAACCAGTATTGTACATTGTACATTTTTTGGAAGAGTCATTAATTGATACTCTCGTGCTCCAGATTAAAACAAATCAACAGAACACGAGCACAAATTAAATTATTGTTAAGGGCATTTCTGTTTTTGAATGCGGGGAGAACAACTTATTGCAGTATTGAATGCGTGTCAA